TGGTGCTAAGCCTGGGGCTTGGTTGGCAAGGGTCCCTGCAAAGGCTGAACAATCTCAAGATTTGTGCCCTATCTTATCTATGCTGCTGCAAGCCTTGCACTCACAGGAGACAGTCAGGACATTCACACTCAGGGCAGTTTGCATGCAGGTTAGAAGCAAGGTCAGAGGAACACACTGCTTTGTCTTGAAGCCTAAACAAGACTATTTAATTTCCCTAACACCTGGGTGTCTCCATGGTAAGAATCTGCTTAGTAATGCGGGAGGCATGGGTTCGATTCTTGTTCTGGGAAGATCTCACATGTCACGGAGAATAAGTTGATGAACTACAGATAGTGAGCTTGTATGGCAAAACTACTCACACCCGTGTGCCCAGGGCCCGTGCTTCACAACTAAAGAAACCACCACATTGAGAAACCGTGCTCCCCACAACTACAGAGTAGGCCTCACTCGTCTCCAACAGACAGAAGTCCACACAGCACAAAAGACCCACTACAGGCCAAATACAAAGACCTCGCCTTCATCTCGGTGGGCGCTACAGCTCCACTGGAGGGTGCTGTACATTTCACATGTCGAAGAACAGAGACGTCAGTTAGGGAGAAGAAAAACCTCTTGTGAGACTCACAAACATTAAACATCTGTTTTCTCACAGAACTCTCCCCCTTGGAGAGTTTCCCAAACCCCATGAATGGTATGGCTTCCTCTCTGTCCTTGTGACAGCTGACCTGTGATCACACTGTTGATACTTTCCCACTCATCTGGATTTCTGCTATTAGCACCTCACTCTCCACAATCCAGGGGTCTTCCTCCTAGTGCCACAAGAATGGAGATAATGTTCAGATCAGAAACAGAAATTCCTACTCACAAGTAATGCCACATACTGTGGCTTCTTCCAGAGTCCAACCTCTCCTTTTTTTAATAAATGTATCTGTTATTGTTAATGCATTGGTGAATTCATTTCTTTCGGCTCGGGAGAGTGTTCGTTGCTGCTTGGTCTTCTCTCCAAGTTCAGCAAGTAGAGGCTATGCTGCAGTTGCAGTGCTCGTGCTCCTCACTTGCTGTGGCGTCTCCTGGGTGCACGGGCTTCAGGAGTTGTCCCATGTGGGCTCAGTAGTTGCAGCTTCCAGGCTCTTGAGTGCTGGCTCGTAGTCGAGGCACACAGGCGTAGCTGCTCTGTGACATGTGGGATCTTCTCAGACCAGCGATCGAACCCGGGTCTCCTGCATTGGCAGGTGTAGAATCCAGCTCTTTTGTCAGCCAAGGAGTGAGGACATTATAAACCAACAGAAAAATACTTCACAAATGAATTTACTATCTGCATCCTTCTGAATGCACAGGGAACATTATCACATACAGTACAATATGCAGCAGGTATCTAGTTCCTATTTAAGAACTACTGAACCAAGAACACAAGGCAACTGGATATTTCAAAGTTTGAAATCAGCTTTATAAATGCTCGAGTTCTGAAAAAACTCCTTCTGTATCACACATTGGAGGTCACCAGAAGGAAAGACAAGTTTAAACTCCTGATGCCAATCACGAAGCTTTACATGTGTGAGTCAACAAGGTTTTGAGCTTAGTCAAGAAAAACAGGTGGTCTCAAAAGGTACAGAGGGAACATGCAGAGGTACCCCAGGGCAGATCCCCACTTCAGGGGAAGTGATCCTCACCTACAGACAGCAGGTTCCTGAGAGTCTCCACCATCACGTCCTTGTACAAGGTCCTCTGGGCAGGGTCCAGGCACTCCCACTCCTCGGGAGTGAAATCTATGAACACATCTTTGAAGGTCAACTGTGCATGAAATGAAAACACATTTCACCAATGGGCCTTGAGGAGGATTCTTAGTTTCACACAAAATGAGAAGAGGTGAGAGGGGTAAAGCTCAATTCAGTTGAAGTAATATCTGATAGATCCATTAAAAGCTGCTTGAAACAAACTGTTGGTCTCTAATCTAATTTCTAATTTCCTCTTTTTTCTAAGATTATGATCTCCTGCAATCAACATGAATTTGTCATGTATGTGGACAATACATGAAAAATACACAAATTAAAACCAATGCTGGGTTGTCCATGCAGAAGTGTTACATTCAACACACTGAGTGATATAGTGTCACAATCTAGTTGAGTTACAGCAAGACTGGTTTCTTCAGAGACGACAAAGTCCACAGTTGCTTTAAAAGAACATACATTGTGATGATGACGACAGGTGTTTCAGCACGTCCTACACACTAAGCATTACTCTAAAGACGTCACACGGATGAACTTGTCATCAACATAACAGCACGTTAGAGAAAGATCTGAGTCCACCTTACTGGGGAGTAAACTCTGTCACTCTAAGAAATCACTCAGATCAAACAGTTAAGAAATGAGGCAACAGCACGTGAGCTCAGGTGGTTGGGAGAGACAACTGAACCTAAAGAATCAACCAGTTAACTACCAGAAAAGGAAAGAGCATCCACAGAAAGTTCCCTGAGAATACCTGAAACAAGTTCAAGGAAGCTGAAATACAATAGAAGAGCATAAATGGTCATGATACAGGGTCATACCCTCCCCCATCACAACCCACAGAATGTCAATAATCATACTACAATTTATATCATTCATGTGATGATGCAGAAAAAACTTAATGCCATGAAATACACTTAAGATACAACTGAAACTGCTAGAAAGCATACACCATTATTTATGAGATGATGTTTTTGTAATAAAACCATGGAGTTAAATATCCATGCATTCATGCATACATGTGTAAACACACAATTGATTGAAACAAGAAGAATTGTCTTTATTTTCTTTCATTCTATTAAAATTCATTCAGCATCAGCTGTGCGCCTCAAACTTGAAATACAGCAGTGAACATGATGGAGCTTACACTCTAGCTGCCAGCCAGGCAATTTCATCCACAATTTTGTTTTTTTTTTTTTTTCATCCACAATTTTAATTCTACTATCAAAATAAGTGCTCTGACACAGGCCCAGTGCTAAGACAAGATTAAACACAAAGTCTTAACCTACATTGAAAAATCAGACAAGGTCTCTGTGAGGAAGAAATACTTAGGATGGGCAAGGTGGGAAATGGAAGAGTGTTGCAAGCAGAGAGAACCAAGTTGCAAGCAGAGAGCCTGAGTGCCAGCTCTGAGGCTGGAAGATATTTACTGAAAGTCAGCCAGTGTGACGGGGACACAGGGAATGTAGATGGGTGATGCCAGGTAGAGGCTAATTTATGCAAGATCTATGGATTTAGGACTTTATTCCAAAAGCTACTGGAAATCTCTGAAGAATTTGCAAGAGGAAAGTTAGATGCTTAGATTTGTTTTTCAGAGCTCAGTCTGCTGTGTGTGGAAGTTGTGTTTACCTGCTTACTCATGCCAGACTCTGCAACCCCGCTGACAGAAGCCCGCCAGCTCCTCTCTCCATGGCATTCTCCAGGCAAGAATGCTGGAGTGGGTTCCCATTCTCTTCTTTCATTTTACTTCTTCATTCAGTACCTTTGTCAATATTGTATTTCTTTTTCAAAGTTTATCTATTTTGCTTATGTTGGGCCTTTGTTGCTGTGAGTGGGCTTTCTCAGCTGCAGTGCCCAGGCTTCTCACTGCAGTGGCTTCTGTTGTTTTGGAGCACAGGCTCTAGAGAGTGCGGGCTTCCACAGTTATGGCTCCTGGGCTCTAGGGCACAGGCTCAGTAGTTGTGGCCCATGGGCTTAATTGCTCTGAGGCAGTTTCCTGGACGTGGGATAGAACCCATGCACCCTACACTGGCAGGCATATTCTGAGCCACTGTACCACCAGGGAAGTCCTCAACATTATCTTATTCTAGTTCAAAAAAAAAAAAAAAAGTAATACAAGCAGAAAATAACATACAGAAGATTTCTTCCAATCTCTATAAAATACCTGTATTTAAAAATATGTGGGCCTCCCTACAAGTAAGTGGTAAAGAATCCACTGGGCAATGCAAAAGATGTGGGTTGTTGCTTGGTCTGAGATCCCACATACTGAAGGCAACTAAGTCCCTGAGTCTCAATTCCTGAGCCAGAGCTCTAGAGCCCAGGAGGTGAAACTACTGAAGCCAGAGTGCTCTAGACCCTGTGCTGCAAGAGAAGAGAAGCGACTGCAATGAGAAGCGTGTGCATCACAACTAGAGAGTGGCCACCACTCGCCAGAACCAGGGAAAAGACACTGAAGCAGTGCAGATACAGTACAGGAAATACATATATTTTAAAAATCATAATGTGATTTTTATCCTTAATTTTAGGTATGTACTTATTGAGAAAATCCAAAATTTATTATTTTATTCCATAAAGCAAATACTGAACCCAGATCAGTAAAGTTGGAGAACTCCCTCATGGTCCAGGGGTTAAGATCCCTCACTTCCACTGCAGGGATTCAGGCTCGATCCCTACTCAGCGAACTAAGACTCTGGAAGCTGCATCATGTGGTCAAAAAAGTAAGAAAAAAAAATTAGTAAACCTGATTTTACAGTTTAAATGAGACAGTGTAACGAAACACTCCCTAGCCCTGACACCTCTTTCTGAACGTTCCGTTCCAGTCCCAAACACTTAAGTTTTCAAGGAGGTGCTCATTTAATTTTAACTGTACTATAAAAAGTCAGAACTGATTTCCACTCATTGGCCTCTGTTGCAGATTTTACCGTGTACTGTACATGTTAATACCTGAGGTCCACGTACAGCTTCTTTACCCTGGTTGACAGAGAGCAGACAGCGCATCCAGATGGGCCCTAAACAGTCCCTGCTGCCCAACAGCACCGAGACCCATGGGTAAGAAGCCCTGCCCAGGACGGTGCCCAGGGGAGCCTCCTCACAAGGGCCAGGTCACCGGGTCATGGGGAGACGGGATCCAAGTGGAGACGACAGGCCCTGAGGGAAGGCCCTGGGTGAGTGTGCATGTACAGGTCAGACAGGACACTCCAGAATCAGACACGATTAGTGAGTCCAGGGAAGGGCATTTCAGGGAGGGAGCGTTAGAATCCACTGAGAATATGACCTTACCTGAGAAAGAGCCATGCCTGACTCCTGTTCTTTCCTCTTCTGGGCTTCTTCGTCCATGAAACTTCACAGTTCTATCATGAAAGTGGAAAACATGCTGTATAAAGCTTAGGGTCAACACACCCCCTTCCTCAGCCCCAACGACACACACAAGGAAGCCCTCACCATGTGGAACAGACAGTCCCCTGTGCCCACTGTCTCAGGAGGGACTCAGGACAATCAACTCCCGCAGAGACCAACACGGGACTTTCCCACATGTTCCTTCGGATCACACTCCCCTCCTGGTGAGGCTTCATTCACACGGCAGCAGGGGGCACCTCCGCTGACCCCACGATCCCCTCAGGTCACACAGCAGGCCCTGGTCCAGCCCCACTCAGAGCAGAGCTCCTTCCCCTCCCCCAGGGTCTGATCGCAGTCTCAGAAGTGGAGGCTAAGAGCCCTGGTGCTCAATGAAGGATCCAGATCGGAATCATCTGCGACTCTGTGCACATTCCTGGGGCAAGGCCCCACACAAGAACCTGAGGAGAGTGTCTGATGGGGGAGGGGTACAAAACATGGCTGGACCCCCCACACATATCTTTCAGTAACAGCACTGCAGGTGGATTCTTTACCAGCTGGGCTACGTAGCTCAAAACAGGTTCCAAATCTGGAAGAGCATCACGTAAGGCCTCAGTCTGTTTATCTGTAGCTAGACCCAGAACCTCAGTGTTGCGTACTTCAGCGTCTATTAAGTCTTTTATCTCAGTTATAGTGTTGATCTGTTTTTTAGTTTTGTTAACATCATTTGGTCATAAGGGTGGCTTCCTTGTCCCTCAGGAAACAGAGTGGAGCCTAACTTAACTAGTAAGTCCCTTGAGTTAAAAGAGAGGTGACAGGCACAGATATTGATGTGGAAGCAACTGGCCATTGTTGGAGCATGAAGGGGGTTGCTGGAAAGCGGGCCCTGTGTCGGTGCTGATGTTCCCATTATGTATTTTTACGGTTGTTAAGGTTTCCAGCCCTTCGGGTTAAGATGGAAAGGACTGCGCTGGTGTCTGAGGGATTCCATCTCGGGCCCTGCTTCAGTGACCCCCCGAGCTTCAGCACTAGTTGCATGCACGGTGCTGTAGGCAGAGGCCCTTGTGACCTCGGGGCCCCTCAGTGTTGGGAAACCATCCAAGGCTGAGGCCCCAGGGATCTCAGGTGTTGGGGGCATTCTCTCCTCCAGCTCCCTGGCTGTCTGTAAATGGGCGAGTCCACCACCATCTCTCTTCCAGTGCCCTTCTGCCCACACGGGGCACCCCGGGTTGGTCTGGGTACCTGTGGGCCTTGTGGTCCACCATGGCCAGCTAGGCCTACAAAGGCTGACTGCCCCTCCGGTGGTCTCTGAGTGGACAAAGCTACAACCATCATTTCAGCCCTTTGTGTATTTCTCTGGGAGCGTTCAGAGAACACTTTTCAACCATGTCCCTATTATCGAGAACTGAATAAGCCACTTGGAGCAAATGGCTCATAGGGGTCTGAGGACCAGCAGTTGCTTTTTGAATCTCACTCCTGATGTCTGTGGCAGGGTGGGCTATGAAATGCATAGCCAAAAGGGCCTGTCCCTTGAGGGAGAAGGGATCCACACTCTATGAAAGTGAAAGAGGAGAGTGAAAAAGTTGGCTTAAAGCTCAACATTCAGAAAACTAAGATCATGGCATCTGGTCCCATCACTTCATGGGAAATAGATGGGGAAACAGTGGAAGCAGTGTCAGACTTTATTTTTTGGGGCTCCAAAATCACTGCAGATGGTGATTGCAGTCATGAAATTAAAAGATGCTTACTGCATGGAAGGAAAGTTATGACCAACCTAGATAGCATATTAAAAAGCATACACATTACTTTGCCAATAGGCTATGTCTGGACACATGTAGCAGAATGGGCCCGTGTTTCATGGAACATTACACTCAAAGGATAAAGAACAAAGTTCGATCCAGCCTTAACCCTGGACCCCAGAGCACTCCATCTACAGAGCCTAATGAAAGTACAAGCCCCGGGCTGTCCCTGCCCGGCTCTCTGAACCCTGCCCTGACTTCCCACTTAAGCCCTTGATGTTTGCCTTGCAGCTCCTCCAGGATGTGTGAGGAATAAACATTTCCATTTCACTTTCCCTTGCAGTCTTCTGTTGAGTTGCAACGTAACTTCCAACACCGAGGACCTTGACTTAACAAATGTTAGTGTAACATAGTCACAGTGGTATTAGACACAGTTAACAAACATACAAACACAGGAAGCAGAACTAAAAAGCTTCTTCATGAAAGTGAAAGTGTGACAAACTTGGCTTAAAACTCAACATTCAGAAAACTAAGATCATGGCATCTGGTCCCATCACTTCATGGCAAATAGATGGGGAAACAATGGAAATGGTGACAAACTTTACTTTTTTGGGCTCCAAAATCACTGCAGATGGTGACTGCAGCCATGAAATTAAGAGACGCTTGCTCCTTGGAAGAAAAGTTATGATTAACCTAGACAGTATATAAAAAGCAGAGACATTACTCTGCCAACAAAGGGCCATCTAGTCAAAGCTTTGGTATTTCCAGCAGTCATGTATGATGTGAGAGCTAGATATAAAGAAAGCTGAGAGCCAAAGAATGGATGCTTTTGAACTGTGGCGATGGAGGAGACTCTTGAGAGTCCCTTGGACTGCAAGCAGATCCAACCAGTCCATCCTAAAGGAAGTCAGTCCTGAATATTCATTGGGAAGACTGATGCTAAAGCTGAAACTCTAATACTTCGGCCACCTGATGCAAAGAATTGACTCATTGGAAAAGACCCTGATGCTGGGAATGACTGAAGGCGGGAGGAGAAGGGGACAACAGAGGATGAGATGGTTAGATGGCATCACGAACACGATGGACGTGAATTTGAATAAGCTCCGGGAGTTTGTGATGGACAGGGAAGCCTGGAGCACTGCAGTCCATGGGGTGGCAAAGAATCGGACACGACTGAGTGACTGAACTGACTAACTGAACAAATATACAAAGAAGATTTAGCAGCAACTTGACATGACTTCTATTAGACGAAAGGCAAGGAGGGAACACTTCCCAACTCAATTTATGAGGCCAGTATTACCGTGAGACAGTATGAGACAAAGGTATCAGAAGAAAAGAAAAGATAAAGATAACTACCAACTAAATCCCACATGAAGAAGCAAACATTCTTAATAAAATATTAGCAATAGAAATCAGCAAGAGACAAAAAGAATTGTATGCCATGATCCAATGGTGTATATGTGAGGGGTAGAAGGTTATCTCGAATTTAAATCAATGTCATCCAGACTGTTCACAGACAAAAGAAGAAAAATCAAACTGTCTTATCAATTGATTCAGAAACTGCGTTTAACAAAAGTCAACAACCATTTATAATATAAACTTCAGAAAACAAAGAAGAGTGGGAACCTCCCTCAACTCAAGAGAGAACACCTGTAAAATCTTACAGCAAACACCATACTCAATGGTGAAAGACTGGATGCTTTTCCCCAGAGATTAGGAAGCAGACCAATATGTCCACTCTCAGCACTGCTATTGACATTGTTTTAGACATTCTAGCCAGTAAGTTAAGGGAGTAAAGTAAATAAAACCTATAAGGACTTCCCTGGTGGTCCATCCAGTGGATAAGACTCTGTGCTCCCAATGCAGACGGTCTGGTTTTGATCACTGGTCAGGGAACTAGAGTCCACATGCCGCAACTAAGATGTCACCTGCTGCAAGGAAAAGATACTATAAGGAAGACTGAAGATCCTAGATGCCACAACCAAAGCTCGACATAGCCAAATTAATAAACACAAATAACTGTTTTAACAAACAGTGGTAAAAGCTATATGGAGAGAAAAGGATGTTAAAATTGTACACCCATCAGGAGAAGACAGTCTGGTTGTGGTAGGCTGAATAAGGCACTCCCCCCCACCCCAATACTGCCCACGTCCTCTTATCTAGAACATCTTGAGTACTACTTTAAATGTCCAAGGGGAGTTTGCAAATGTGATCTAGTTAAAATCCAGACACAGAAGATTAGATTGGATGAACTGGTAAATGTAATATTGTCAGGAAGCATTTAACAGTAAGATTCCTGTGTGCTGTTTCCTATCTCTCTTGAGCCCTCTGTTCCTTATCAGTCCCTGTCAGGGGAACCAAGATTGCTGGGAGAAATATCAATAACCTCAGAGATGCAGATGACACCACCCTTATGGCAGAAAGTGAAGAGGAACTAAAGAGCCTCTTGATGACTGTGAAAGAGGAGAGTGAAAAAATTGGCTTATAACTCAACATTCAGAAAACTAAGATCATGGCATCTGGTCTCATCACTTCATGGGAAATAGATGGGGAAACAGTGGAAACAGTGTCAGACTTTATTTTTGGGGCTCCAAAATCACTGTGGATGGTGATTGCAGCCATGAAATTAAAAGACGCTTACTCCTTGGAAGGAAAGTTATGACCAACCTTGATTGCATATGAAAAAGCAGAGACATTACTTGGCCAACAAAGGTCCATCTAGTCAAGGCTATGGTTTTTCCAGTGGTCATGTATGGATGTGAGAGTTGGACTGTGAAGAAAGCTGAGTGCTGAAGAATTCATGCTTTTGAACTGTGGTGTTGGAGAAGACTCTTGAGAGTCCCTTGGACTGCAAGGAGATCCAACCAGTCCATCCTAAAGGAGATCATTTGTGGGTGTTCATTGGAAGGGCTGATGCTGAAGCTGAAACTCCAGTACTTTGGCCACTTCATGCGAAGAGTTGACTAATTGGAAAAGACCCTGATGCTGGGAGGGATTAGGGGCAGGAGGAGAAGGGGACGACAGAAGATGAGATGGCTGAATGGCATCACCGACTTGACGGACATGAGTTTGAGTAAACTCCAGAAGTTGGTGATGGACAGGGAGGCCTGGTGTGGTGCAACTCATGGGGTTGCAAAGAGTTGGACACGACTGAGCGACTGAACTGAACTGATACACAGTGCCCTTATAAGGGTGGTGTCATCTGCATATCTGAGGTTATTGATATTTCTCCCAGCAATCTTGGTTTCAGCTTGTGCTTCTTCC